ATGTGAGAAAGCAGGAAACCAGAAAATATTCACACTTAAAGAGCTGCGATTTTAAAAAAAACTAAAGAAAGTTACTCTAACGTACCCACTGATTATCAGAATAGTTGGTGGTAAAGTGTAATAGTTCTGCTAAAACTACTTGATCTTTGTGATTAATTTGATTTCAGTTACAGGAGAACGTTGATTCTCCAAACTTTGATCTACGCTGTTGTATTTGGAATCTAGTTCAGAAGTCATTATGATACTCAAACCCCTCAACATCCTCGCTGTTTTTTGTTTAAAAAGACGAGAATCTTGGTTTGTTCAACTCCTGTAATGAAAACAGTGGTTATATAAGAAGTATGAAGGTAAGAAACGCCCTTTTTGGTGTGAATTGAAACCATTTTAAACACAGAGCTGGAAGTTTTGTCTCTGTTTAAGCTGGTGATCGTTAACAACAAGTGTTAACGAGCCACTTCTCTGATCTTTCATAAATATCATACCTTGTACTTTCCGAGGAACGGGTGTCTGCCGCTGGTGATCAGCATGTCGTCGCCTCGCTCCAGACAGCAGCGAACAGCCCTCCCGGTCCTGAAAACAAAACCACACGTTTCACCGAAGCCCTCCGACCGTCATCGTCGTCTGTCCCTCATGTCGTGACTCTTCTTACTTTCGCGCTGCCACTGCAGCGATGGCAGAAAGGGAGGCGATCTTCATGACTTTCCCTCCGAACGCTCCGCCCAGCCTCTTCACGTGGCAGGTGATCTTGTTGGAGTCGACTCCCAGCGCCATGGCGACCACCTCCTGGTGCGGGACGACAGAAGCTGAGAGTCAGGCGGAAGAACCGAAGGAGCCGCAACAGAAAAGAGAGTGTTTTTCTCTGACCTGAGTGAAGGCGGCGTGTTGGGAGGCGACAAACAAATCCATCTCTTGGTGCTCTCCTTTGGGAGCAGCGATCACGCCTTGAGTCTCCAGGTAGAAGTGCTCCTGGCCGCCCATGTAGAGCTGATCTGCAGACAGCATCGTGTACGTTAACGGTGCTTTGAAAAGTTTAAGACAAGTTAAAGCAAACAGAAATTTCAAAGACACCAAATTCCTCCGCCAGTGGAAACCCACTGGTTCTCCGATGCCTAAAAACTTAAAGCAGGTGGCGTCTGTCGGCAACATGATGGCTTCTGAGTCATCCATGCTGCCGAGTATCTGGAAGCTCAAGATGAGACCTTCTAGTGAAGCTTGAACATTAGTGGACCAACTGCACTGAAGGACTAATTCAGCATCGAGGCATCTTTCTCCTGAGACGTTTCCTGGTGAGGCCGAGAACTCTGTGAAGTCAGTTACCCTCCAGAATGTGTTCAGCCGTCTTCAAGGCTTCGTCCACGTCACCTCTCTCCACCTTCCTCTTGGGTTCAAAGAAGGACTCGTGCTTTATGGCGTCCTGGAGGACAAGACAACAAGAAAAGTGGATCGTTGACGATTATTTTAACCACATTTCCTGAACTTTTTAAGCCGACTTCAGCGGTGAACACTCGATTAATTCCCGCACACTGTAAATATTTCTTCTTGCCGTTTATAGTCGTGATGATTCTTGCTATCTTTCAAAAGGTTTTAGGATTCAGAGGGTTAATATCTAACAGGTGACGGTACCTCTATCGTGAAGAAGACGGGCTGGAGGTCCCGGTAGGTGACCCGGACCTTCTGGGCTGCCCTCCTGGCCTGTTCTCTGCTCTCTGCCACCACAGCACCGACGATCTGACCGACACAAAGCACCTGCGCACACGTCCCACAGTGTTAACGTACAAAACACAACAGAAAAGTCAAGAGCCCCTT